AACAGTGCCCAAAATTTAGTATATGTTTATTGAGAGACTTTAGCAAAAATTTCAATGGCACAGCTCGAGTGAAGTAGGACGCTACCAGCGGTCAGACTTCGCGACGGCGGTGCCTCGGCCGCGCTCGAGCGATCGGTCGCGCCCGCGTACGACTGCGTCGATCGCTGGAGCACGCGGCCGAAGCGCCGCCGTCGCGGAGTCTGAACGCTGCCATAGGGACGATATTACTTTACAGAAGCGTAATCGTTTAGGTATCAATCCGGGCTCGGAATATCTAACTACGGCTGACTTCGAAGCGATTTTTTCACAAGTCGATGAACGTCGTCCTATCGGCGTCGACTTCCGAGGTGCAAAGATTAAAGTGAACTTGCAGGAGTGAGTTTCGCGTTTGGTGTCTTTTCTATTCTCTCGTTCCCATGCCAAAAAGTCTAATGTATATTTTCTCATCAATTGCGCTATGCGTGCTGCCGGAGATGGGTAGAGCGCGTCGATGACTCACAATCAGTTGTGAGCGTAGCAATACTCGTGGAATACTTAAGTTTGAGACAACTGTCATCTTGTTCTGTGTTGGACAGAGACACGACTACAATCGTGTCAAAATGGAAATATCTCTCCAAAAGCCCAGCCGCCGCTACGTTTAGGTGAAGTGCGCCTACCACATTTCAGAGATTTCGACTGTAAGATAGGGCAGGGAATACAAAAGGAAGTCGGTGGATTGTTCTTTCTCTCCCCCTTAACTGGCTCAGACCACGAGATGCAGCCTCTACCGCTCCAAAAACTAAGTACTAGCCCTCTCCCCTTCCTGTTTACAAAGCTCACTCTGGTAAAACTTGTGAACTCTTGTGAAGCTGAAGTAAGATTGTCTAGCCACTATCCTGAAACGTGTCAACTCGAGAAACGGCTACCTAGATGGGTCGACACATCTATGGAAAGCAAAATGCCCCCCCCTCGTCGACAAACTGCGCCTAATGCTATTCTTACAATGAATTCTTGCGATGCTTTTGCCTAGGTCATTTGGGTCTCCTTTCCGTATATACTGACTGCTGACACCGCTGTTTTACAATGGTTATAACCAAGTTCATCTGGTTTCTGTGCAATATTTCACGGCAGCTCTACCGTTATTTCGCCTGCTGTATCGCAGCAATGAAGGCTCCTTTGTGCCTTCCTTTCGCATTGCCTTGCTGGTCGTAACTACTTGTGCATGTCTCGCCATACATTCAGATTTTAGCAATTTCAAAATTTACAAAAACATGTTGCCATTTGTCGTAGTAGCACCTGGTTTCCGTCGCCGTAAGGACCATTCATATGGACCAGTGGGTAAGGCGAACCGCTCGCTTGTGCTCGAATAATTTCCGACCTCATCTTCCACGTCCACGGACCTACTGCCTGGAATCGTGAGATATAAAATGAACACACAGTTACGACAAACATTAGATCTTGCTATAAGGGCCGGTCTATGGAGGCCTTCATACACCCACGATAAACTTCTGTCAAAACTGACCTTGATATATAACTCTAGCGTAGGCGATTGAGGTGCAGAGGCCAGGGAAAAAGCGTGGCACTCATTGAAGGCGCAGGAGAATGCCGGTGACGAAATCCGAACCCATTGGCCGGAACGGAACGAGAACGACTAATGGCCGTCGTTTGAATTGCAGATAAATGATATCTGAAAGAAAGATCATGCGGTTATTAGTTTTCAAATTTCCTCAGGAAAGGTAGAACGTCTTCCCTACCAGACGGCAATAGTTCAGCGTTGAGGATTTTGAGTTTCTTGTATTCCTGACGCATTCCCATGATGCGATCAATTATGAAGATTACCACGGGACCAATCGCGTAGTACCAGATACCAGAAACTCTTGGTGACTGTTAAAACAGTTAATCGCAAGTAGGTCAATTTTTCAGCCAGGAAAATTACAAAAGGTGTTGAGAAAAACTGTAACGGTATACCCACATCGAGCAGTTTCGGCTAATCCGTGCAACACGGTCAGCGCGTAGAAGGCAACATTAAGAAGATGGGTAAGTCTAAAGTTGAGATAATTTGAACCAAAACCACACTTTGCAGGGAGAAAGCTACTAACCGGAATGCATGATATGCCCTTTTCATAAAGCAGGGTAAGGCGAACACGTAGATAATTGACATCACAGCAACAAGGAGGATACCAGTAAGACCAGTGATTGTTCCATAGAACCAGTAGCTGATTGACGGAAGGAAATTCGACCTGGAATCAGATTGTCCTCATGTGAGAGAAATTATGCACTTTTCAGGATAATAACAGGTGAGTAAGTGCGGGAAGAGTATACGCTCTCCATATTGTGAAGGGTCAGTAATCTGCCAAGAGCGCGAAAAACCATGCATTAGGACGAGTTTAAATAAATTGCATCACTTAACAGCTTCATGGACGTATTAAAAGGCTAGGCGACGGGCCCGACCATAAGGCGACAACCTTCATTTACAATTTTAAAAATGACTAAAAATAGAAAACCAAACTGCTGCCTATGCCGGTGCTAGGTGCCCGTGATCACCTGAGAAGAATCTCAGGATCCTGCGACCGCGTGGAAACAACGCTAGCGAAAACAAAAATCAACGCTAGCGAAAAAATAGAGATAAAGATTTTTGGCGCAGCAGTTCGGCCGCAGGGGGCGCGGGGGGCATTTTTGCAATTTCGTTGCTGCTTCACAAGTTCTGGACTACCAAGTCTCACACTGGTAACCAGTGAACTCTTGTGAAGCTGGAGCAAGCTCGTCAAGCCATCAAGATAAAACCTGCCAACTCGAGAGCAGGGTGTGTAGATGGATCGACACGTTGATGGGAAGTAGCAAAAGTGCAAAGTGCCCCCCCCCCTCCGATTTCTTTACTTTTCTCGAAACAGGAGGTTCCAGGCACAAAAAAATGAACGTATTTGGAAAGAGAGCGCCAGTGAGGACGGGGAGGGGAAGCGGGAGGTAGGAAGATGGGTGAAGGTGGCCGTATCATGTTAGGAGGAGTTCTAGTTCTCGTAACCTGAAAAACGTCAAAGCGCCGGAGGCTCCCGCAGAACTTTGACCTCCTGCTAATTAGGTCTAAATGATGCTGATAGGAAACAGACACGAACCCGAATACAGCTTCCTGGAACAGACAATGAAGTCCTTCTTGACTCTGAGTGGCAACATGGTAGAAGTTAACGCAATGACCGATCGTGTGCAGAGCAGCCCAAAATGCGGCGAACAAAGCGACGATCTGAAACTCAGCAGTTATTTACTTCTTCTGAGCATAGTCTGAAATCTCGCGACATTACTAGGTTGAAGGCACACTCTACCCCTAAACAGAAGATGCCACGTAGTTGCGAAGCCATGGGCGGACTAACTACGTCAAGTGCACCCTTCTCACTGAGCCGCCACAGCCTTTCTCAGCCGGCGTAGAGGATGCCAGCGCACAATGAGGAAAGGCCCTCGACTCTTCCGTGTCAGCAGCCGAGGAGGACTCCGCCTATGCGGCTAGCGTTTAATGTGCTTCGACATACGGTTAGATTTCCTCAGCGTTACGAATGCAGTTCACGAAAGAAAGCTAAGGATATAAAGATAATTATTCAAAACCGCCCACAAAAAGCGGACTAATTTTTATAAAGCAGGCTTCAGAAGACTAATGAAGGATTGATTTTAGTAGTAGTGTTTTAGTACAAGGCTTTAAAAACGAAGAACGAACCTTGTGGAACGCGATGGCAGAATCAAATGGAATGAACTCTCCGATAGGTGTTTCTCTGAGCAGGGTGATGACATTACGGCAGACTGTCAACAGTACTACAGCCATACAAAATGACAATGCTCCAGCAGCACCGCGAGTGATCGCAATACCAGCGCCCATCACCCGGCGCAAATCACGGTGTTCCGTCTCGTAGCGATAATCTGAATTGAGCACAAGAAATTCATGTAGAGGAAGACTAAAAAGAATATGGATGCAACTCACGTGCCCAGAATCGCTCCAAGAACACGATGATGTTGATGCAGCAGAAGATGAAGAGGATGGCAATGTGTTGACGGTAAGTCTCAATGAACGCGGCGATAGAACCCAACGACGTTGCGAGAGAGACACTGATGTTCCGAAATTGTTGAAACGGCAAACGAGCTCAATGATGCGGTCCTGAATGCGTACCTTGTCGCTGCCGTTGATAAGTAGGGATAAAAGACTGATATCAGTAACAAAAATAGCAATCACATTCGAAGCTGCGG